GAGAGAGAGAGAGAGAGTACAGTACGTACAATAAAGACAATATTTCTATAAAGTGAGTACATGAACAAGCTAGGCATTACAAGAAAAAAAAAAAAAAGGATAAGAGTTTGAAGCTGAGCATGACTACAAAGAGCCATCCAATACAAAGGGAAAAACAAAAAACTTAGTATTTAAGTGCTATCCATTAATTCTCATGATTAATACCCAAAAGGAAATGAAAGGGATGCATGAAACAAAAAGGTGTCTCCACTTGGAGCTGCTGGAGAATATTCTCAAACAAATGGCACAATCAGAAAATTATGAAAGGATAATCAGAAAAGTGAATGGCTATACCAAAAAACATAATGGAGATTTCTGCATATTCTTGAACCTTAACCAAATTTGGTAAAGGACATTAAGAAAATAGCAAGAAACCCACGAGGCAGAAATGCTTAGAATATATAATAGCAGTAACCACATTGGATTTGTAGACCAATGCACAATAACAGACAAATTGCCCATGCCCAAAAAACAGGAAGCAAAAAGAAAAGAAAAGGAAAAAAGAAAAAGATCAACCAAGATCATGCGTCCAGGCCTCCCTAAATTTAACCCTCGAACAACGTCTTTACCCAAATCTCAGAAATTCAAATTTCATTTACGATTCACAAAAATTTAATAGAAATACCTCTCATCATTCATATACAGATAATGCAATGGGAACACACCACAAAAACAATGATCCAATGCATCTACTAAAAAACCCGCCTATTTCACAGTCAATCTCTCATTAATACTAATCATAATTCTTCTAACCCAAAACTAACCTATTTTTACAATCACTCACTCTCTCTCTCTCCCTAAAACTAATCATCATTACTAGAAATATCAATGCTGGACCTGTAACGGAACTTGAGATGATAAAAAAAATCCAGAAAACCGAAACTGGAATCAATCTGATCCAATCATAACCAGCTCCCACACAAACATAAACATGCCTAGGCAAGACACATCCCACTGATCTACCCAAAACCAATCTATTTTATAACTCAGAGGATGGAGGTCATAACCATATTCGGATTTCACCCAAATCACCAAAAATATCATATCTAATAGAGTTTCCAGTGAAATAGGACATCATATTGATAATGATCCAATTCATCTAACGAAAAGCAGGCTTTTTTTACAGTTTCTCTTTCTAAAACCAACCATGCAAACTAGAAAAACCAATGCCAACCTGTAAAGGAATTTTGCAGGACTATATGGTTTGCGATCACCCGAAAACACAGCTGAGAAAATCGCATCCATATCACAAGCCAAACAAAGACCAGAAGGTGAGCTCTTTTGACAAAGTTTCCGGTTATGGCGATCACTGAGAAAGTAATTTCTCAGAGGTGGAGTATGAAGCAAAGCTTGGAGAACCGAATTCATGAAACAAGTATTGCCCAGATTGTTCAGACCCCGTAAACCCCATGGAAAACATGAATTACCCAAAGGGCTGGAACCCCGTTGCATCAAAAGCAGCTCTCTCGAATTGGGTACCCATTGCTTGTAATCAATCTTCCTCCTCTTGCTCGAATACTCCGAGCCCCCATTAATGGCTTTTGGCAAAACCATTATCTGAGCAAACATAACAGTCATGTCAAACTCTGGATCATAAACTTGGTCACAACAAACGCAGCAAAATAGCTCTGCTCTCTCTATATCCACTGCAATTTCATGGCCAACCTCTGATCGAGAGTGTAGATGGGCATGGTTTGAATTGGGGGAACCACAACAGGAGACATTAGCACAGATCAAGCAAACAAAGAGTCTTCCATGGCTTTTCAGGCAAAAAGAGCATTTGGGTATCTGGTTTTGCTCTCTCTTAATGGAGGTTTTCCCTAAAGGTCCAAACTTTAAGCACTTTTGAAGGACTCTGTAACCTTTGAGGCCATGTTTCGCTCTGTAATCTGAGAGATGGGGGCAAGGCTGGGGCGTGGTGTACCTCTGGGTTTTGGTGGACATGTTTAGAGAGAGGAAGAGAGAAATGGGGGAGGAAGGAGAAAGAAAAAGCTTTGATTTATGGGACTCCAAGGCCTTAAATAAGGAAGGGATCGAAGAGGAAGGGGATCTGTGGCTCTTGGGCAGACGTGCAATAGGGCGGGCTGGTGACTTTTGTGTACAATGGGAAAGGAAGAGAGAGAGAGGAATCAAAAGTGGGGGGTTTTAATTCCTGTGTTTTGTAAGGTGTTGGCCTTCTTCATTCAATGTTTTACTGGAAATCTTCGTGTGGACCGACTTGTTCAGAGTTTCTCACTCTTCAATCTCTAATTTTTTCGTTTACTTTGTGTTTTTCGCTCTCTCGGTTTCCTTTTGTATTGGGAGTCTCTTCATTCATATATCGCTTTTCTAAGGCATACAATGGGAGGATGAACTCAAGGCGGTCACAATTAATATTTAAAATTTTCGATGTAAAATTTTCGTGTATATTATTGACCAAGTTCAAAATTCAAAATAAATTTTTTCAAACTTTACGATATATTCAGAGTACCAGACTTCACATCATATGATTAAAAACAATTATGACCCCCCAAAAATAAATAGTCTCATTATATATAATTCTTTTGTGTTATTGCCTTATTTGTTGTTAAAGGGTTAAGTTTATAAAGTGTGGATCTTTTTTTCTTTTTTCTTTTTTTTTTTGACAATATTAGTTGTTACTATAACAGATAATTATAATAAAATCAAGGTAACAAACTCGCACTTGGATAAGATTTTGTAAATCCACTCCAAATCTAAGCCATCAACCATCTTATTAGCCCATCCATATACGTGCTTGAATGAAACTGTCATCGAATTACTAACATCTATGATTCCATCCATAAAGATCTTTTAATCTCCAAAACAGCCTAAGCTCCTTATTACACTAATCTTGAACAATCTAAGTAAGCCACACCTCTAAATGTTATTGAAAGATGTAATCTTTCTAAAAACAATGTTATTGACCGATGTAAGCTTGGTGTGGAATGAAGATCTGAAAATCTATTTCAAATCTAATTATGAAAATTTAAAACTAAAAATTAATGCAGATCAAACAAACCTACAAATATTTGAAAATGTTAAAAATGGAAGATCTAGATAACATGTTACAAGATGCGTCATTTTAAAGACTTAAATTATTATTATTTTCATATCTAATCATCTTGAAATCTAGATGTACAATTGGATGATTTTTCAGCATCTAAACACCCCGTTTCCATACATTTTGTATGTGTGCCTTGATTTTACAATGTAGGGTTAACTTTTTCATTCTTTCAAGAGAAAAGTTTANATAAGGATTGCAACTCTACACTATAGAAGTAGGTGCACGTCTTTTAAAATGTCTTTTATATAAGGATTGCAACTCTACACTATAGAAGTAAGGTGCACGTCTTTTAAAAGGTCTTTTATATAAGGATTGCAACTCTACACTATAGTAAGTTGGTGCACGTCTTTTAAAAGGTCTTTTATATAAGGATTGCAACTCTACACTGTAGAAGTAAGGTGCACGTCTTTTAAAAGGTCTTTTATATAAGGATTGCACCTCTACACTGTAGAAGTAAGGTGCACTTCTTTTAAAGGTCTTTTTCTACACCTCCTTCTCTAAATCCTTATATTATCAACCATATCTTGCAATGTCTAGTCCTCCAGTTTTAGTGTCTCTTTGCCTTCTCATTTTAGTCTCAAACTTCTATATTTAGCATCTCTTTCCTCCCAGGCAGGCTCATTTTAGTCAGTGGCTTCTAATTTTAATCTTTAACACTCTCTTTCTTCATTTAACACTCTCTCTCCCCATTTTAATCTCTCCCTAAACTAACTTTAGTTTCTTCCCTAGCCCTTTAATTTTAGTTCCTCTTAGTGACAATTATCATTATCGTCGACAAATTTTGTTAAGATATTACCAATTGCGTCATTTTTATCGAGTATTTATTGAAAAGTTAATATATGAATGTTATTTCATATTCTTAGACTCTCTACCAAGCAATAAATAAAAATTTGCTATGAGAGCCTTTTATTTGGTTAAGTTTTTTCAACTGACGCTATGTGCAAGTGAAAATTTGAGTATGTTTCAAATCTCTTTCAAAAATTAAAATTTGGATGACAGTTTTGATGTATTCTTGGACAACAATGACTGATTGTTAAAATTTTAGATTTTAGAATGTCTTTAAGGTTTTTCAAAAATTTTGCAATAAAAAATGTTAAGATTATAATTTTTGATGTTTTTTAGGTAAAGGGATCTTTTACTTGAATTTTTTTAAATCAAAATTAGTATTATGTCATCTAAGGTTGTTATGGAGATAATATCGAAGAGGCCTATATTATCCTGATTTATTAAAGATATTATTGTCCTTTATGTTAGGTAGACAGCCAAGAGCTTTCTTTTAACCCTAAAGGAGGTGGGTTGTATTCCATGATCATTGTCCCTTGATGTTCTTAAATAAAAACAAATCAATATTAGAGATAATTGTTACTAATAGTAGCGATATCCTTCCTATCTCTTTTTTTACAGCTAAGGATCCAAAATCATCTCTCTCTCTCCAACCTTCCTAATCTCTTTAATAATGGAATAAAATTTCAATTCAAGCATTGAAAAGTCTTTACATCAATGATCTCGACTTGAACATTATGGTTGTAAAAAAAAATAAGAATTTCAAACTCTAAAAATAGTATATATTAGAATATCTAGACCGTTGATATCACCCTACAATATGTGTTCCCAGATATACAAGATATGTACCATTTTCTCAGTTTCAAATTCATTGTTGCAATTAGAAATTGATCTTTTAGCCACCATGGAGATTTCCTTTGCCGAAATTGCTATCGAGGATTCGAGGTGAAACTTTATTTTGTTTTCATAAAACCTAGGCCTTATATATAGGAACCTCCTCCTTTTATAATTGAGGCGCGGCACGTACTACCATTCTTGGTTTTCCTCGGCTAACTCTTAGGTCCATGCTATTCATTAAGACGGACGGCCCACGTTAAACTCAAGTGTGCCATCAAGACATCTGGACCGTCCACCAAACCCCTTATCTTCTACGGTAATACGACTTTCTTCCTGAAAAATATATTCTGACCCTTTGAGGGACACGTGTGAGGGAAGATTGTATGTGGGGCCAATCGTCAGGTTCTCGTGCATGGAAGATCCAGATCACCGGCTATTTCTGATCAACGGCTGCTATCCAAGGAACCACTTCTCAAAGAATCTCAGCCGTTTGATTGAGAGGAAGAGATACATGAAGAAATCAAGGGTAATTTTGGGATTAGTAAAGATGGAAGATCCTTTAAGGAAAACCGCCTTGGCCTTTATTGTTAAATAATAATAACAAAAAAAAAAAAGTGTTATTAAAGTAATAATAACAAGCTTAAAATATAGAACCACGGATGCACCTAAAAAATCCATTGGTAAATGTTGTTTTAATGTTGAAAAACCCTCTAATTGATCATCTCGACATCGAGATGTATGACCATGAAAAAAAAAGATTTTAAGTCCCAGAAATGGTGCATCTTACAACATATTATTTAGACCGTCCATTTTCAAGAGTTTCATATGTTTATAGATCTACTTGATTTTAATCATTTTTTAAGTTTAAAATTTTATAATTAGATTTGAAAATAGATTTTGAGATAATCTTAAGAATATTTTACATCAAAATTATATGTTGTGATAATATTTGAAGGTGTGCCCTTAAATGGATTGCTTTACGGTTGCAACCTTATGGAAACCACACCCTAATAACAATATCTTGCTGGAAAGGGAAACTGTTTGTTTGTGTGCATGATTACAAATAACGAAAATAATACTTTTTTGATGATTTATAATAATTATACACTAATAATAATAATAATTGGTTTATGGGTTGTTCATGGCATAATACAAATGCTTATTAATCAGATGTTTAATATCACACCAACTCTCTCACACTAAACACCAGCCAAGTAAGAGCTTTATTTCTCATGTCTGCAGTGCAAAGTTCAATGACAATGAAAACTATTTTCTTCTCTCTACAATGTATTGTGGAATTTGAGGAATTTTCTTGGGATGGGGAGATGAGCAAAAGAAATATCATCTTGTCAAATGGGAAGAAGCGTGTTTACCAAATAAATTTAGAGATATGAGGATTAGAAGGCTTAATGGCGCATTACTGACTAAGTGATGGTGGAGATCGGTAACAGGGGGGCCAACAACTGTGGAAATTGTTTTTTTTTAATAAATATGATATTGATGTTACTGGTCTCTTTACAAAGCTAGTTTTTCTATTGTTTGGAAAGGACGATAATGCTCTCTGGCATATATGGAAGGAAAGGAATTAAAAAAAATTTAAAAGAAAAGGAGGGATGCTCAACAGCTCGAGAGTGTTATTTTGAGATCTGTTATAGAGTGGGCTACATGATTGGAGAGTTTTAAAATTACCCATGGGGATGATTTCAATAATAATCTTAGCCACCTTTTGAGAGGCTACAAAATCAGCACTTTGGAAACCTCCTTCGAGAGGCTGGTTTATACTTAACTTTGATGGGTGTTAGAAGCAGTTGTTCAAGAGCGGGCTATGGAGGTGTGTTGCGGGACAAGTGAGGTGGTATCATATGGATCTTACAGGGGCAGTTGCCTATGTGCAAAGCCATTGACGCTAAATTCTTGGGCCTCAAGTATTGTGTGTTGAATGTTGATAACAGAGTTCTTCACCTTATTATAGAAGGAGACGACTCCAACGTGATTAAATGGTGCCCTCCGTAATGTGGAAATAGGTGGGTGATTTGGAGGACCTAATGAACAATTCGAGTGGTAAACCAGCCCAATTTTCTTTATTCTTTCGCTCATTCTTTTTTGTTCCTTGTTTCTTTTTTCTTTTCTTTTTTCTTTTGTCCTTGTTTTTGTTTTTTTAATACAAAACAGGGGTCTCTCTCATTAACTAAA